TGTTTAACTTTGTACTATATATAGCTGTTCATTTGCTTCAAATAAAGATATCGGAGTGAGAGTTGATTCTCACTATAGCTTCACTACTACGATTAGAGTTAGCCACTAGAGGATCTATATCCTCACACCGCAGACATTTGGTCGTAACGATATTTGAACGCAACGACAGTTGAGATTCAAAGGCGCCGGTGCGAGTGAGGGTGACGGTGAATATCGATGAAGATTAATCAAAAAATGATTGTAGTTGGACATGAGGAATATATAAAAAGCACTCACACCGTACCAAGTTTGCTTAAAGAAAATTTTATCGTTATGCATCAAGCAGTTTAACAAACGCCCTCTTACTAAATGCTTTTGTCGTGCATGCGTAAATGTCGGCGCCCAAATGTCTGGTAATCCATTTTCAACATGCACTTAGAATTGTAGTTATACGATAGATGCAAAAATAAGAAATGTGGAATAAGAAACTGCATCGATTAGTGTTCACATCAAAATTTGATGGTTTCTTTTAGACTAGAGCATCACAGGATTTTTATATATTCGGCCCCTCTCTATGTTTCGCACCCGGTGGCTGCGTTGGAGGTTGTCACGGTATCTAACACTATATTCAACGGTAGACATCAAACACACTGCGTTCGCCTTTCTTTCCTTTGATCTTATTTTTCTTCCGTCCCATATTTTTTCTTATGTGCTCGTATATATGTGTACAACGCTTTATTTCTCTGTATAGAAAAGAACAAATTTTCTGTTTTAATCTATATATCCATTTATTTCATGTCCAAAAGAAGCAGTGCTCATCCGATATTCTGCCAACTTCTCAAATTAAGATTAAATTAACTAGAGAAGGTCCATCTCCACTTCTTATACTAGTTTGAAGTACACAAGTTGTACTGCTGGCGCCAGTTAAGCACCAACAGTATGACTGTTAAATCAACATTTCTCAGTAAGCATACTCTATTAAGCCAAGCGCAATACATCATTCGATGCGTCATGAAAAGCTCTACATTTGGGCGCAACGACATTTGCGCATGCACGACAAAAGCATTCAGTAAGAGGGCGTTTGTTAAACTACTTGATGCATAACGATAAAATTTTCTTTAAGCAAACTTGGTACGGTGTGAGTGCTTTTTATATATTCCTCATCTCCAACTACAATCACTTTTTGATTAATCTTCATCGATATTCACCGTCACCCTCACTCGCACCGGCGCCTTTGAATCTCAACTGTCGTTGCGTTCAAATATCGTTACGACCAAATGTCTGCGGTCAAGTGCCGCGCGCCTAAATGTCGGTATAACAGATTTGAATTCTGTTCTACTCAGTATAGTCTTCGAGAACAGAACAGCCAAACAATAATGTATGAAAGTCCAGGTACACACACAGAGAAAGAAAAACGTCTGTTTAGCGAGAAATAAAATGACAAGGAGAAAGAGAGAACAAACGAACACGTTATTCTTTTACTATAGATCCTTTTGTTGTACAAATATAGTCTATGGCTGCACGATATATACATGTTGAATCCAATGAAATCAACGATATCAAAAGGATTCTAGTAACTCCACTACGTAGAATAAACATATGTGGTGCTAACATGTTCATTAAAAATGTCACATAGAGAGAAAAGCGCTTAGAGCAGCTATGTATCTCACCATAGCTTTGTTACCGTCGTTTAAAGTTTGGCTAGTGGTAATAAATAATAACATCAAACAAGTAATTTATTCAACATTTTTCGATCTATGTACGAGGTACGTGCGGTTGCCACAAAAAAATTTCAAAATACACCGTGAGACGTAGGACGCGTGATACAGTCAGGCACATTAGTTCAGGTATTGTGATACATTTAGACGAAGACATCATGATGCATTTCTGACTGTGTCGTACACGCCTATTCTTTTACAGTGTGGATTTGGAAGAGGCTCAGACCTATAAAAACTATGAATGGTTGGCAAAAAACTCGATGGATTGTAGCTTTGAACCGGACCTAGTGTAAATATTACGTCACAGTGCTGATTGTTTGTTTTATTTTATTCAAAATGTGCCAGTCTGTATTTTAAGATCAGCTTTGATTGCGACTCTTCTTTTTGTCTTTATGTATTTGTTTATTATTTATTGTTTCGCTTGAATATGTTTATTAATTTTATTCCGGGCCGACTCGTGCTGCCCTCACCGAGGGCTCCTTAGTACTTTACAAGGTGCACATCGGGTCCGCGGCTAAGAAAGTTTGACCTAACGGTTTCCTGGGATGCTACCGAGTATTCCGGAACTTAGAGTACCCAGTTACATTATCTTAAGGCTAGCTCATATACCATTTTGTAGCTCGTGAAATTCTCTATCGAACGGTGTATAACAGTTGATATTTGCTCTAGGTGAAACAGGTTGAATAATGTAAATACTTTGAGAAAGCGTCGCTTAACGCGAGAAGAGTTTTTGTGCTAAAAGGTTTCCAGGAGCACTGAGAAGGATTTTTAAGATTTAAAAATATGTTAGCGTTAATCGTGGACAAAAACTGCATCAGATGAGTTAACATAAGACTAATTTGAGCGTGGGCCGATTTTGCCTCTTATCGTCCCCCATCCTTTAATTAAAAAATTTAATTTAATATATATTTAATATATTCATAATCAAAAATGTTTGTACCCGCGAGAGAACTTTCCTAGAGATCAATAACTTTCCTCCTCAAATCTAGTTTTTCTAGGGATCGTTTTTGATGCTGGTATTCGTTTATGCACTTATGAAGTTTCTATGTGAAGTTTTAGAAATCTGATCTCTGAAGACCGATCACAAATCTGCGAACTAAAAGATTCTGTATCGTAATTTATAAAGCTTATTGAGTTACCTATACGAAAAAATTTGAAGAGGAAAGCTTTTAATCTCTTGGAAAGTTCTCTCGTTAGATGAACTGACCAACAATACTCGATTGTACTTGTGTAAAGCGATAAATCTTTACAGGATGGTACCTGAATTATTTTACTGTTCCAGATAAAAGCAGATTATAATGGCCACAGATGTCATGACATCAACATTGCAATGGAGGCACATGGTATCCATCTCTTAAAAGAAAATGAAAATCCAGAATTACAATCATTCTCATTCATAACAGCAACAATGTTCTAATTGTCAGAGTGAATGCAGTAACTTTGTAGAAGTTAAACAATTTGAAATAGACTTATTTCCAAGATATGTTTTTTCGCTGTCGAAGCCCAAAACATGGATAAGGAATATTTTTCTATTCGATAGCAATAAAACAATATCTGAATACGAACCTGTTGGACACATACTGAACTCGCACGAAAAGGACCGCCTTCAGGTGCTAAAGAAGACCGAGATGTTAAATGATTACACTAAAACGAAGAAGAAAATCAAAAAATAGAGAGAAAGGGAAAACAATGAGTTTTGTCCCTCTTGTGCGTAATACGTACAAAAACAGCGAGAAGAACAGTAAACTACTGTGTAACTGATTATGGATTATAAAGTCTATAGAGTCACTGTTCCTACTTATGACAGGAAAATTTTTTCTTTTTCATAAATCTCTATTTCCTGATAAGAGGGAATTTTAGATTCCGGATTAGAGGAGACAATTCTCTATCTTGCTATGTAAAATTTTAAAGCCAGAAAAACCTCATGGTAGTATCGTGTTTACGTCAAAGTCAATCTATTCCTTTTGATTCCCACAGTTTTATGGTTTAAAACAGCTTCATTGCTCTGTTATTTCAAAAATCTCTTCGACAGCCATTTTGTCGTTTTTACATAGTTGCTGATCTGACGGCTGGCCTTTTTCAAAAATCCTATTTTTGACGGCTAATGGTAAACAACCCATCTGTGTTTTATTTTCCTCTCTCTAGCTTTATATTCAACTGATTAGTTCGCGGTCATCCAATCTCAACACCTCATCCAATCTTATACACTCTTATTAACTTCATATCTTCATATAATTTCGAGGACGAAATTTGGCCAACCCAGGGGAGTCCTGTAACGGTACGACAGTTTAAGATCGATCAACACTCAGAACCGTCACTGTAAAATAGCTAATTTTCTTAGTACTGCTCCCGTGCGACATCTCTTTAGAAATGTTATCTGTCTAGGTATTTTTCTCATTTGTCTCTATTATGGTTGACTTATGGGTGGTTTTTCTCGTTCAAGTGAGTTTAAGAAAATACAGTTAAGAAACAATTCAAGTTCAAGTCCTCGTCTAACACTCCTCTGCAGCATATCAAAGCAGTGTGAATCCGAGTTGTATTTTTAGTAATCATTATCTGACTAGTAAATGCCTTCCTAGAATAAAAAGCAATGCCCTTATACAGTGTCTCGGCGCATCGCTACTTTTTGGGTGGCCTTCTATTGAGGGTCAATTTTTGACCAGCTATTAATAATAATATTTTTCAAATTTTAATAATCTATTAATTTTTAATTAATTTTTTAAAGTTACTTTCAGTGAATAAGTGTGCTCTTTTGTGGAAAATACACTATTTATGAGAACACAGAGAGAGATTTCTCGAAAATCTCTAAAATTTCAGGTATATTTTCATAATTATTAATTAATATTTATTAAAAATATTGAGTTTTTGTTGGGCATTTGAAGTATTTCCCAGACTGACCTTATATAGAGGGTGACCTTCTATTCTGGGGGAAGGGGGATTACAATAAGAAATTCGTATTATAGCTTTGCGTGGTATTACTACTTTTCTTGCGTACAAAGCTTACATGAAAGACGTACAAAACTGTAGACTCGTAGCAAAAAACGTGTTTTTTTTCTTCGTTTCTCACTAATAAATCAGAAAAAAAGGCGTTACTATTTTACGTACACTAGTTACTTTCTGAAACATGTCTTCTCTTTTCGCATCCTCCAATTGCGTTATGGATGAATAGGTTTTGTGCGTATCAGTATAACAAAGAGCAGCAACCACCTTAGCGAAGAAAAAGCAAAGTAATTTCTTCATCATAAAACAAATTGTTGGAAAAATGTCCGGCTTTGGTAATTTTGGACATAATGTTGGTCATGCATTTCTTAATCAGGGAGTTGGACGCGTTATAAATAATGCCATACCTGGTGGTGGTAAGTAGGAAAGCAGTTTTGGAAAGATATTCCGAAAGAATGATGAGTATAAGTTAAACTGTTTTTCCAGCAGGAATAGTGCTCACTTTAGTGGAGTACATCTTATAAAAAACAACAGGATCGGCTTAATGAAGAGGTGGCCTCAATTTCGTGGAACCCGTCTTAAGCTAAATAGGAAGTATTCCTCAAGTGTAACTTGAATTAACTTTGCGGTTTAATAAGGTAGGAGAGTTCCTAACGGTGCAAAAGTCAAAAACTTCTTCGACAAATCGCATGAGTTTTCGTACCAGAGTAATGGGATTACTAGTATTATTACTTGTTTCGTTCGCCAAGTTGGGTCATTAAAATGGGTGCTAATTTTTTCTCTTCCCTCTGTGAAAGTCCTCACCAAAACGAAGAGAGTAGCATTTCTTAACTTTCTGAGCCGTTATGCGTGAGAGTACGTCTGAAAAAAATGAATCGAGAAGTTTTAAATGACTGAGATCGGCTGCGCATAATAGTATACTTCGATGATGATGAAAAAACTGAGATCTGTTGGAAAATACTGTAACATCTGTTAGAGGCTTACCTTTGGTATCAAAACATGGGTTCTCTCAGGCATCCAGGAAAAACGTACCTTTTTCTAGGTATATTTGGTGGTACAGCTCGCCAAGTAGCTCGCCAGTATGCACGTCAAGCAGTAAATCATCCCTTTGGCCATGGTGGTGGCCATAGACACGGATTTGGCGGAGGATCTCATGGCTATGGTGGTGGAGGATATCAGGGCTATGGTGGCGGAGGATATCAGGGCTATGGTGGTGGAGGATATCAGGGCTATGGTGGCGGAGGATATGGAAATGGCTGGTATTGATGAAAACACGGCCAGTACGGCGTTATTCTTACAAATTAAAAAATAGACTTTCGCCTATCGTTCTATTCCTATTGAATAAAATTAAAAAAAGTCAAAAAAGGGAATAGCGCATACAAATGCGCTTTTATAGATGGGATATTTTTATGTGCACTTTGCGATTTGTATTCAGGCCATCGCCAAAAGAATGTGCTGGACACACATTAGCACTAAGATTCGGCATTTATTTTAAGGCTGCAAGCTCTAAAACATGCATCAGATACGGGCGTCACCATATCTCGAAAGCAACTTTCACCTTAACACCATTTCGTGGCTGCAATATTTCTCGGTAACGAAATATCACAGAGTGCTCTGGAAGGTATTAAATTGAAGCTGATGCATGTGGCTAGAGGCTAACAGAGCCTAATTTTTGGTATTTGGTCTACGTTTGTGGTTAGAAAAATATCTTTATGCGAGTTAATGAGACTTTTTCGGTTTTTGGACTTTTGACGCTGACCATTAACGTAGAAGGAAGACCTAAATAAAGTCACGGTATTACCGTAAATGGTCTCTTGGAACATCTTTCACAAACATGTATGAATTTACTGCAGTAACTCGAACAACTATCACAGTTATCGTTTTTCGGTATAAACGAATCACTCAGCTAAGATTTAGATTGAATTCCGAACAAAACTACCCATTTAGTTTCGCAAAAAATAGAATTTTTATTGTGTTAGGTGTGTTGGTAGCTAAAACGATTTAAATCGGTCTCGACAAATATACAGGTATTACTGATATAGTGGAAAATTTAGAAAACCACAAGTGGCAGAATATAGGGTTTCATGCCTAAAAATATTACAGAATGAATCATACAAATTCACAATTAGCGTCGAATTGTGAATAAGACTGTAGCCTCATATCGTTCAATTCGCGAAAAAATTTTTTCCAAAAAATTTTAGGGCAAAGGTTCTGAGGGACGTCGCAAATTACTTTTTCTCTAAAGTGGCAAAATGACACTTTTTATGACTCAGAATTGAATACTGATCAAGAAAATCGTATTCACAGTTCATTAAAATGCTTCCCTGTGAAGTGATGGCCGAAACAAAAAATGGGTTGGAAATTGCTTTTTTAGAGTTTTTGACTCTCAGCTGCCATGAGAAGGGCGGTGAAACCTTAATTCAATAAGCTATTTACATTGGAGATAGATTAAGCAGCGTTCTTTCTAATGGTGTATCGTTCAAGCCGAAACTCAATGTCTAGAGGCTTTATCTGACCACAACAAAGTGACGATCCGATTTTCAAGGTGTTAGCAGGGAACTATCTCTCTCCAACTAGCAGGGATCATTTTATGAGTCTTTTTAGAATAAAAACCGTAGTTATGAAGAGAAGATGTGCATTATATCTTACCTATAGTCGATCTGTTTTCAAGGCTACCAATAGTCCCCGTGTGTTAGTCCTGGGACAACTATCGGCGCCAAAACACGGTGGTCGTGAGTGTTTTACTAATAACTTTTCATAGAGATGAGATAGAGACCTGCGATTTTCACTATTCAATAGCCAAGACCTTAAGATATGTTTCTGTAAGCAGAAACTTGTTTAAAACTTTTCTGGAAGTTCGATTTTACAGAGGATCTTTGAAAAACTAGCTCCGTTCTCAGAAAACTAACGAACAATGTTAGTCATTTTTTTGCTTGTGTAGGTAGTGTTTCAACTAAAATATTCTCGATCTAAAGGAAATTAAGAATTGTGTATACTTTACGTCTTTTGTAGCTTAGACTTTCCAATAACAAACAATGTTAGTCTTTTTTTGCTTGTGTAGGTAGTCCGGACGTTACTCTACAAAATTATGCAAGTTCCAGTTCTCCAGTTATCGTCGTTCGAACAGAACTCGCTTTCTCCGAGCACGTGTCTATCTCCCAGTAGACATCTCTGGGAATCTCGAAATGCCATGGAATATAGGTAATCGACTATACTGAGCATAGTGAGAACATTTATTTTTGTGTAGAGATGAAAATAACTTTACCAGAGGCATTTTATGAAAAAACGATTTTCGCCTATTACTAGCAAAAATTAAAATCCTTATGTCTCGGTCAAATATCAAGCTGACCCAAGGAAACTTTCAGGGAACACTCAGGACAGCTCATAAATCATAATCG